TGTTACAGATAGAAAGTTGATTATTGGCCTGTTTTGGACATTAGACCAACCATCACTTACCATAGTGAGTCCTGTGTTCAGTGTCTGACAAATGACTATTAACACGAAGAGCAACAGATTGGACTTCCTCATCTAGCAAATTTGTTGATATGGCCTTTCTGCTCGGAGGAACGTAACTAGCACCGCACTGTGCTACAGATGTGCAAGCATCTTTAAAGTATTTACTGTCTGCAAGATTAAAAGGTAATCCATTAGCGTAAAACATTCTAGCAACTGCTCTATCTGCAACATTTTTTGCACACTTCTTCATCATGTCTGGCAACATTGATTGCTTACCAAAGCTGATATTATTTGATTTTGAAGAAGTTGATGATGTAGTAAAAGTAGATGATGTTATTTGATTTAATCTGACCAGCTGCTGTTTTTTCTTCTGATCTTCTTGGCGCTTGCTTTCAATTTCCAAAAATTTGGAGGCAACAATGTCAGGAACCTTACTACATTTCTTCAGACCAATTTTTTTATCTCCAATCAGATGACCACGAATTCGTAATGCACCTCCAACAAATTTTCTGTCACAATATATACATTGAATGGTTGGCAAGTTATCCGGTTTGTCATCACTGTCATCACTAACGCAAATTACATGTTGCCATTCAGGCCCTTTTTCCTTTGGCATGATCAAATTTGAAAAGTTTATCAACGATTTTCAGCTTTTAATTATAAATAACTTACGTACGCGTACAAACAGGATACGAATATAACAAACAATCTATCGCTCACAAAAACATTAGATAGTCAGGCACTAGATAAAATAGAATAAAAAGAATTATACAGTGAGAATGACCTAGTTTTTAATGTCGCTTAGGAGAGCATAGATATTATGTCATCAACGGTGGAGTTAATTTGCATCTTAATAAACTTGATTCAATATTTTTAAACATCAAGAAAGGCAATAACATGATAATAACGACGTTATTAAAACAAAGTTTATTGCTATTTAAATGTTTAAATAATTTGACTTTGGAGGCGAATTTTTGCAGCGATCATTTCATAGATATTATAATTATAATATCTATGTTTAAACTTGAACTTTTTGAACTTTATGGCCGAAGAATAAAGTTCAAAAAGTTCAAGACAATAATAAAGTTCAAAAAGTTCGAACGTCACAACTATGGTGAGGATGATGTGTGGGGTTAAAGTGAAGGATAGGAGGAGTAGTACAGAGCTGATGTCGATGATGGGACTGAATGAGGACATTGTGACATTGATAAGGAGATCGAGATTGCGGTGGTATGGACATGTGTTGAGAAGGTATGAAAGG